TATGGTCATCTGGAAGTCCAAATTCGGAATTTGGTTTATTATCTATTTCATATTTTGTAAAACATTTATGAGTTTTCGATTAAGAAACTCAAAACAATTTCAAAGCGAGCAATGCAACACTGTACGAAAAAAAAAAAAAAAAAAAAAAAAATTAACTCCAGCGCGCGAGACTGTGTATCGGAAATTATAAAGATATGCTTTTTTTTAAATATTTTGTGATATTGTTGTTGAATTTAATTTTATGGTTCGAGTGCGAAGAACATGCTATTTAATAAATAAAGGTAACACACAAAACGTTAAGAAAAAAAAAAAAAAAAAAAAAAAAAAAAAAAAACACCCCACTCCTTTGGCCATAATATAGAAGCTAGAAGCTTTCAGATCTTTTTTCCCACTTATGTTAGAAACGAATTCCCGATATTTAACTGCACCACTCGCCACGTTATCGCTCGTTACCGCGTTATCATCCATGCCGCCTGCTCAATTGCCAGCTCACGAGACAGAAGATTTTTTTCATTTTTTATTTTCCGCATGCACGTGGCTGCATGTAAAACTGGCATATTATATTGAGCTTGAGATTTTCTATTTGTCTTCCAAACCACCAAGAAAAAAAAGGATTCTTAATTTTTATTTAACCCAAATCCTAAACAATTATCGAATTTTTCAAATGTTGAATCTCTGAATCCCTCATATAAGAAGAATGTAATGATAAAATAAAAAGAAATCTGAAAGGGTTTACATTTCAACGGTCGCTCAAAAGGGATCTTTTAAAATTTAATATGGCTTATTAGAAATTACTAGTGGAAAGAGCGCAGATGGAATAGCGGAACGTTTTATGTTTAGACTGTAATGTTTATCCTATGTTTTTAACAGTTATCTTTTGTTAAAGCTACTTTTTCAGCTTACGATTTCCTGCCAGAATGTGTTTTTAGAATCGCGTTTAATGCAAATGAGTAAGAGCGTATTTAAGTCGAAGTTCCACTGAGTTACATAGCCAGAGTTTCTGACTAGCGCGCGTCCGCCTTTTGGCTACGTCTCTCTAAGCTATGCTCGGCCGTATTTCAGACCCTTGTTGCTTCGCCAGTTTATTTGCTATTTAGGGGCCAACTACTTAGAAATCTTGATAGTTTCGGCTGTATCTTTTTAGTTAAGCATTAGTTAGCATTTACAGTATAAGACGCAAAATTGTTTTTCGAGACTAGATAGATCTTTCGGGCTTTAAAAAAAGTAATTAATAAAAAAAATATGAAAGGTTTCAGATTAAATTACGTCCAAAGGGGCGTTTTTTTAACATTTTGCGAGTTACTTTTATTTATTAAATATCACATTCTTCGCACTTCTCATCTCCATGATCCAGACTATTAACGTCAGATGCCCACTGGGCAAATTTCCTCGAGCCGGTAACATCGCGCTTCGCTCGATAATTTGGCTATACCAGCTTAAAATGGATCGGATACGTTTTCTTTCTTCGTTGAAGGTTTCGTTGCTCCTGATGAAGCTTGACCTGTACCTCTTCGCCCTCGAAACATAAGTTTGTTATTTTCTGTATTTTTATGAAGGCATATGTGTTTGTAAGTGTAAAGTATCTGTGCGGCATGGGGCATTTTGGTAAGTCAAATGTCCTATCGTGTGGTTTGGTGGAATGGAAAGAGTTATGAGAGACTTTCATATTGTTCTCCGGTATGTTCTTCATCAAAACTCGAGCGGAGCTATACAGTTACTATATATATGGCCAAAGCTGAAATTTCGGTATTCTGCTTACTTTTCTACCTGCACTTTTTACAAATGTAGCTATTTAGAATTTGATGTAAAAAATAAGAAGCAATTAAACAAAGAAAGAAAGAAAAAGAGAAACGAAAAAGTGGAAAAAATTAGAGTTTTACAAATGTAGCTATTTAGAATTTGATGTAAAAAATAAGAAGCCATTAAACAAAGAAAGAAAGAAAAAGAGAAACGAAAAAGTGGAAAAAATTAGAGTTTTACAAATGTAGCTATTTAGAATTTGATGTAAAAAATAAGAAGCAATTAAACAAAGAAAGAAAGAAAAAGAGAAACGAAAAAGTGGAAAAAATTAGAGTTTTACAAATGTAGCTATTTAGAATTTGATGTAAAAAATAAGAAGCAATTAAACAAAGAAAGAAAGAAAAAGAGAAACGAAAAAGTGGAAAAAATTAGAGTTTTACAAATGTAGCTATTTAGAATTTGATGTAAAAAATAAGAAGCAATTAAACAAAGAAAGAAAGAAAAAGAGAAACGAAAAAGTGGAAAAAATTAGAGTTTATTCGAGGATTCGAATGTTCCATCCTTAAAAATCATGATATGAAAAGCGATTACGTATTTATTCAAGCAGAACACTTTAGAAAGGCGCAATGCCCTCGCTGAAGCTCTGAATCTCCTAGTTGGAAGTGCATTCCAGTTATATCACGAAGATACGTCATGAGGAGGGAGAAAATACCTTACATTCTCCTCCACTCAAAGAGCGACGGAGGAGAAGAGTTCTCAGTCTCCAGATATAAATGGTAAAATATTATTTTCCACTATATTTTAGATCTGGCGGCACTTTAGAGTCATTTAAAATTTTTCGAAATCAGAAAACCGGAGAATTCCACATTGCCGGGACTTAAACCCCGGATCTCAAGATTGCTAGCTGAACAAGTTTTTAATTATACAATGCAGGCACACGCGGTTAAGAAGGAGAAAATACTTACAAATAGTTCATTGGCTAACAAAGCAAGCTATTAAAATCATTATGACCTTTTTAATTACAATTTTAATGTTTTCAGTAACACGTTTTATCACAACTTCTACGGTTAGAAAGTTAGTAAAAACTTTCTTAACGTCATATATTGTGTACATCTATTGAAGAATTAAAATTTTTATTATCATTTAACATATGTCATTTTTATGTTTGTTAATATAGTAGTATGTGAGGTTTATCTATTTATTTTAAACTAATAGTTATAGTTCATTTTAAGTTTGATAAGATAACGTTCGTGAAACTTTGTTTTCACCCACGCTTTTCATGTCAGAATGTAAATGAAATAGCGAGAGTTTATTAAGGTAGAAAGAAATGATATTTAAGCAAGAGTTTCGGAAGTTGGTTTTTATAGCGTGTGTACCTATTCCAGGCCATGATGTGATACGATTATTAGCGACTTGAGGTAGTGGCGTTGAGTGTTTCTAGCCATTTGTCTTTGTCTTTCCGGTTTTCTACAAAACAGAGCCTTTCCTGCGCGTCAAAGTATTCTGTGAGCTGTTAGGCCGATCTACCACACCTTGAAATTGTTTGTGTTTGTTGTTCGTATTTTTTGTCTTTGGTGTTTGCTTTTGTCTAAATGTTTCTACTTGTCCTTTTCCTTGACTTTTATGTTTTTAATTATTATTAGCACATCACAATTTTCATTTAGTTATTAGTCCAAAGAGGGGAAACAATAGTCCCTGAAGGACTATTGCTCTCGTTTTGCGATTTTGCATCGAATCACTCTGAATGTCCGTTTCACTTTTCAAACTGTTGCCACCAAATACTATCGCTCTGTATTATATTGAAATTTAATAATGAGAATCTGCATAATGTAGTATTTCTGCCTGGGACAAAACAACGTACCTAGAGCCATCTATTTGAATGACGTACTCCTATGCGAATGTGAGCATCGGAAAACAATTTGGAATTGTTTATATCGTTTCATTTTTGTAAACTTTAACGATTTTTTGATTACGAACTCAACGATGTAAGCGAGCAATGAAACACTCTATGGGGGAAAAACCTTTTATCTCCAGCGGCGCGGAATGTGTATCGGAAATCTAAAGATATGCTCATTTTAAATTATTTTGCGACATTGCTGTTGAACTGAATTTTATGGTTTAAGTGCAAAGAGCATGATAATACATAAATAAAGGTAGCACACAAAACGTTAAAAAAACGCCTCTTTGGACGTAATTTAAAATCTGAAACCTTTCAGATTTTTTAGTCCAAAAGGGCTTTGTCCCTGAAGAACTACTGTACGGCAGTGGTCTCAAATACCAATTGCGGGCGCACCGAATGCACGGTCTTAAAACAGCTGACGAGCTAGAATTTTTTTAATGGTTTACTTATTTTCCTTTGTTGAATTGGCCTGTTATGACCATAAGATCAACTTGTTTGGTTAGGTGAGTCGGGCTACGTACACTTCTGGTACCTTGATACTGTTATTTGTTACGTATTTCTGTTAAGCCAAAACTGCTTGTTTTAATGTAAACCCATGTTGAGTCATTTGTGAAGTTGTGTTTGAATAAAAGGTCTTATATACCCATCTTCTGATTTCTGTTTTGTTTCATAAAGTTGGACGATAGTTCTTTAATAGTCCTTTTCTAAAGTCTATAATTTATGTTCCCAAAGAAACATAGACTTTACAGGTAAATGACTAATTAAGGACGATTAATCTCAAACATTAAACGTTAGTTTACATTAAGTACATGTTCTTCGAATACAGTTTAAGAGCTATTTGATACATCTTCCTAAGAAATGACAAATTACCTTTAGTAATAATTATTAACTTATAAACTCGTCAGAAGCCTGAATTTCACTTTATTGGACATCTCACATTAATAAATATAATTTAATTAATTAATATAGAAGCATTTGACATTTATCGCACTTCAAGTCTCAAGTCCTGAAACATCAATCAACAGAGAAATAACTTTGCGCGCGAGCGAGAAGTTATTAATATTCGAAGGGCTATTTTAAATTATTCGGCGGAAAGAATAACGATAAAACGGGAGGGAAATTCGAAAAAAAAAAATCCTTTATATTCCATCATTTGCTACCGCGTCAAACAACCCCATGACTTCCCACTCAAAATCCAATCAACATCGTTCGCCTCGGTGGAAGTTCTAACTTTTGAAAAAAGAGTGACTTCTGGGAAACAGCGACTATTTTTAAGGGGCGGACCTGGGTTTTAACTGCCAAAAGAACTTAGTGCGTCGTCATGCGGCGGTCCGTCCCGTTTGGATACGCCCACCTGAACTGTTACGTCATCCAATCGATTCTTCCAACCCCATCATCTCTAGCTCTTGACAGAAAGCCAGAGCATCGCTTTCAAGCGGATTGCACAGCACCGGACCTGCGGGGAAGCTGAAACTTGGAACTCTTTCTCTTACGGTGTATATTCGATACAGGATTTGTTTACTCTTAAACCCAGATGTGGAAATAATGTTGTTAACTTATTAAGAGAATCGGGTGTGAGGTTTTTGGCAATATGAAGATGTATTTTGGGATTATTATTTTCATCTTGGGGTTCTTGACTGGGAGAGGTAAGTTATCTTCTTTTCTGGTCATTTTGTTCAAGTGGAAAATATTTTGTTGACCTTGTAAAGCGCGCTTTTTGACATGAGCTTATGAAATGTTAATTTGATTTTGTTTTGCTCCTATTTCGCATTGGAATAAATGGAAATTAAATATATATATATATATATATATATATAAATGGTTTAAACAGCATGCTAAAGAACTGGATTGGAACTATTTATATGTAAAATTGTCTAATATTTAAGTTTTCGAACATTTTTATTAATAAAACTTTATTTCTAAAATTTGTGCCAAGATAGAATTAAATGGAGCCATTTCAATATTTCTTAAATAAACGAGTCTTTAAACTGTGCGCTTTTAATTGCATTGTTTTGTTTTAAAAGAAGAAACTTTATAAACTTTTGTATGTTATTTACAGATATAAAATTCAGTTGTATTGCGAGTTATTAAGTTGAAATCACTGATTATTTTGGAAATTTCAGTTAGTTATAAACTCATAGCTTTAGCTGTAAAAAGCTAACTTTATATATTAGCACAAAAGCGGAAGCTTCTGAGACTGTTCTTCTTTCAAAGTTTTACTTTTCTCTAAGTTTATGATTTTTAGAACTAAAATTTTTAAATACTGTATATTTAAATGAGTTTTTTTAAGTACAGAAAAATAATTTTGCAACTGGAGACTTTTGATTTTATTGCACTTTATATTGCTCTAAGTGCACTTTGTACATACAGGTAACTAGTTAATATCGGGATGAAATTCCTTAATTAATATTTTATTGATGCAGCTCAAATTATATTTTCGGGCCAACATTTCTATATTTAAAGAGCAGTCAAATATTTTACATTTTCTGTTCAGCATAGCTATAAAAAGAAATTTTTTATTTTTTACTTTAAAAAAAGGGATATTTGAATAACTGAAAACTAAACATGATTTAAGATTAATTATTCAGCAGCATTAGGTCTTCTTATAGAATTCCTAGCTTAATTAGTACGTAAATTAAATATGCTTGCATTTCAGTGCATGTTAGAAGCAATGCATAAGAATTACTAAGAGCATGCATAAAAATAATTAGAATACATAAAAATTACTAAGTAATTAAACACCAACTTTCAGTAAAAGAAGTCAATTTATATATTAAGGAGGGAAATTATAAATTTGATAAGCAACATTCTCTCAATGGAAAGTAACTAATATAGAATAATTGTAAGTAGAAAAAGCAGCCTTTACGGCTGTAAAATTTTAAACGTAAAGTTATCCTTAGAAGAAATGAAAAGTATAATAAGATCGTATTGTCAACCGAACCTACTGCTCTAATCGGTGTAGTGATTAAAGATCCCGGTATGATCCTGGAGAAGGGATGTCTAGTATCTATGCAGCATGGGAGTACTTAAAATACTGGTAAGCCGAGAGTCCTTTCCAGGTGGTTTCGTGGTACGAGAAAAGATGCAAGATACTCTCGGAGCCGTCCTCCAGGACGATCCATGAAAATTGGTATGGTACTATACACTTAGTTCAGTAGGAGGATACCTGCGGAATCATTTGGGGATTGTTCTGGTGTCTCGCCCACCGTTGCTTGTCTTGTCAACTGAGCGACAATCGGATTTAAGACAGTACAAAGTTACTTTTCCAAAAAAGATAAAAAATATTGCAAATATTGTTTCAACTCAATACTAATATAGTATATAAGAATAGTATTGAGTTGGAACAGTAAAAATTATATAATTGTTGTTTCCCCCTTTCTTTTTGCTTGAGAATTTCATTTGAAAACTACAATCATCTGCTGTGCTGTTCGGTTAATGCACTGTCAATTGTTTGATGGGACTGCAAACATGTCTTCAGGGCCATTCTTCTTGATACACATCTCGATAATCCAGTCGCCTTATTTAGAAACCTGGTGGCCGGAGCAAATTCCTTATGAAGACCATCTTCTTATTATTGCTTTTAATGAGTAAATATTGATGACGAAAATTATATAAAATATTTAATGAAATAGACTAAAAAGTTACTTTTTTTCTTTTAGAGTCATTTAAACAAAAAATATATTTAACATTTTATAAGGTATTTCTCCCACTTCCCTAGCGTGCCTTCTTGGTGTAACGGTAGCACACTGGGCCGGTATTCCAGAGGTCCTTTTTTCGATTCCCGGCGAAGGCGGTTGCATATTTTTCATCTTTTCTGCTTCCAATTAACAAAATGACTCTAGAAGTGGCACCCGAACTAAAAGGGTTGTGGATGATGATTCTCCGCACCCAGGATTTGGCGACGGTCCCCTAAAACCCTACTCGCCCTTTAAAAAGGGGAGTATATAAGGTATTTCTCCCTCTTCCCTAGCGTACCTTCGTGGTGTAACGGTAGCACGCTGGGCTGGTATTCCAGAGGTGCGTGGTTCGATTCCCGGCGAAGACGTTGTTAATTTTTCATCTCTCCGGCCTCCAAAAAATATCCTAATGTCTCTACAATTAATATACACACGCACATATGTATAGTATATATCGTTACGGTTTTTGTATTGAGTTAGCTATTTTTAATTAATTCAAATTATTTTATATCCCCTTGCAATGCAGCATGAGACTTGTTTGAAGAGAAAACTACTCCGAAAAATTAAAAGTACAGGAGCACGCGCATTTAATAAATAGATATCTCGCATTTGTACGCTTTTGTTTTCGGAAAAAATCGAGAAAATACGAGAATTTTCTCGTGCATTGAAGAAGCTTATAAAAGGCTGGAGGAAAACATCTCAGTTCAGCTGTTTTATGAGTTGTTTAGAAAACAGTTGTTGTTTACTGTAGCGAATTCGCGGTAAAATCGGGTTAGCTTTCTCTGTTTCAAATTAAGTTATGTTGAACGTTTTAGTAGTTTAAAACATAACTACTGTGAGATATTGGGATATTGTACGAATTTCTGTAAGGAAATTTAAGCATTTTGGTTTTATTTGCTGTGATAAGAATAAATTTTATTCACTTTTCATCGGACTTGTGCATTCAATTCATTACGAACCCATACGCGCACAACAATATGTATATTTCATTTTCTCAGTTTACTATATGTTGTATAGAATTAATAACGGCTTGCTGATTCTCTGGAAGAAACTGGAAAAATAAAAATAAAAAAAATAAATAAATAAATAAATTAAAAAAAAAAGGGATAGATGATCTTAAAATTTTTTATTGATTTAATCGTAAATCTTAATGAATTAAATCACAGATTTAAGACCAAAATATAATGCAATTAAATTGCTTACCAATTTAATAATCAAGTATGCAATATTACCTACGATTCATATTCACATTATAATATTATGAGTTTTGAATTGTGATGATCACATAGCAGCAGAGATTATAAATGTGAAAGTTAGCATTCGGTTACCAATCGAGGCTTCAGTTAACGTTACTAATCGCCACCGACAGTGCAAGTTAGTGGTCTAACGTGTGATATTTAAAGAAAGACATAAAAACGAAAATATGACATTAGAAATTTTGTTCGTTCTTCTAATTTTGCATTTTTATAACTTAGAATTGAAACAAATATTAAACTTTACATATGTGAAATATCATCGAAAGATTTGAAGACGCCTGAAAGTGAAAGCGAGATGCACATGCCCCATTTTTCTTTGCGAAAATAAGACATAAACCCCTTTATAATCCCAAGAACACCAAAATTTTCCCGATAATTTCTTGCGTGTCCAACTCTGCTTTACGGCAAAATAATACATGTAAGATAAAAAAGTAAGATATATACATGTAAGATAAAAATATACATGTAAGACATATACATGCAAGATAAAAATATACGTACATGTTAGATATATACATGCAAGATAAAAATATACGTACATGTAAGATATATACATGCAAGATAAAAATGTAAGATAAAAATGCGTGTAAGATATATACATGTAAGATAAAAAATACATGTAAGATAAAAAATATATGTAAGATAAAAAAACGTATATATTAAAATTCTAACTTTAATTTCGAATAGTCTCTTAACACCTCATTTGGATTTGGGTATTTGCGCTTTCGGTCCTGAATATAGCAATTGCTTATAATAAACATCTCTTAGCCGAGTCATTTCAATATTAATAGCCATCCCATGACTCTTTCATAAAGCTAATGACACAGGTAACGTATGTAAGCCTTGGCAGTAATTTTGGAGAGATGTAAGGATTTATTTCTTTCTATTAACCAGATATTTTACATTAATTAGCTTTACTATCTTTCTCCTTTTCCGTTTTCCTTCCAGAATATAAATTTATTTCGCGCATATTCAAATATTGTACAAATCAAATCATGTAGAAAGAGCTAGTAATTAAGGGAAGGTTTTAGATTATTGAATCAGAGCATGTTCCGCCTGCTGAAGAGCACGTTACTGGTTTATTTCTTAGTTTGCAATCAGTCTGCCGCGTTGTGTTATTCTCGTTTGTTACACCAGTATTAGGTTTGATCCAAATCGCACGTTATTCATTCTGTTTAGGCTTTTGCTAATTACGACTTATCTTACGACTTAACTATAGCATCTTTCTTTTGTCCCAGGCAAATCTTCGTGTTTGCTTCTGTTCCGTCAACTTGTTACTGCTTGATACTTCGAACGTGATTAAAAATTTTACCAGTGACGTTGCAGTTTTTCAACAATCGCTTATTGCGCAAATTTACAAAAGTGTCAGCTAATTAAAATGTTTGACAGAAATAAATGAAAGAAATAAAAAGGATTATTTTGATTGGCCACGACTATGAGCTTATTTTTTGTGCGTATGTAGAATCATTAGGTTATTTTGAAGCAGAAAACGTGAAAAATATGCAATTCCCTCGCCGGGACTCGAACCTGCACCTTCCGAATTCGCGTCGAGTGTGCTACACGTTACACCACGAAGCACTTTCTTGCATGCACGAGGGTATGCAAGAAAGTGCATCGTTTAAAGGAATTACGTTCTAGCATGCGATTCCTTTAAAAGGAATTTTCTCCCTTTAAAAAGGAGAAAAATCCCTTTTAAAGGGCGACTGCGGGTTA